CTCTCTCTCTCTCTCTCTCTCTCTCTCTCTCTCTCTCTCTCTCTCTGTGTGTGTGTGTAGCACATACCATTGTGTGTCGATGTGTCAATACTCTATTGTTAAAGTTGGCAGTCTCCGGAAAAAAAAAAGAAATGATTGATCACAGGTCCCAGTGTTGAAGTGCAGTGTGGGCACAGAGCTGTGTGCTGGGCTAGTTGGAGGATCAGTGTTGTTCATCAGAGCAGTGTGCTGGGCTAGCTGGAGGGTCAGTGTTGTTTGGAATAAAACTTCATTTGTAGAGAAGTCGTCTGATTGCTAATTGGCCAAATAATTGTAAAATTCTGCATGTAACACAGGGAAATCAGTTGACATGGACACACTTGACTGTTTAACTGTATGTGAGTAATGGCTATCAAGCATTTTAAAGAAAAGTTATGGGAGATATTAATTTGTGCTCAGTAAAGTCATAAAATTTAGCAGTGTAACCCCGTATAGGAAACAAAGATCTTGTTTTTAAAAGCATTTAAATGGTAATAACTGGTTTAGGCATTGCTTTCTTAAACATTTAGGGAGAGTGAGCACTAAGTCCTGTTCAGTAATACATTTGCTATTATTAATATGAATTTATTTTTTATAATTTTGAAACCAAAATTCAAACGCTTTGAACCCAACAAACCTTAGCTTCTAAAAGAAGTGAGGTCTGAGTAAATAATCTTGTAAAGGCTGCTTATATTTCCTTTATTGGTAGATAGCATTAGTAATGTTACCTTCCTAAATTGCAGCTATTTTTTATTTTCTTAGATTGGTTCCAGAGAAAATCGAGACTCTAAATGAAAGTTGATTTGATTTGTATTTAGTTCAGTGATTTATCAAATGCTCATTCAAATAGCAAATGGAACTAGAGAATTCAATGTTGTTCCTCAAACTTCAATAATTTCAGTATATTAAATTGCATTCACTGTGTTTATCATGGATATTGGGGAAATATTTGTTTAATGAAGTTCAGAGTTACTAATGTATGGTGTTCAAGTTAATGCTGTTTTTACTACAGTCAGTTCTTCCAGAATAGCAGCTCTAGTGATCCATTTTTAGTTGTTTCGGCTGACATTATGAATCCTGAGAAATGAACACATTATGTAACGTTTAATTGAGGGGGATGCTGGGATCAAGCAATAGCTATGACAATTATTATTTGTAGTCCTGTGATGGATTTATACTAATCAGGTTTCATTTTGTAAAACAGTTTAATCCAAGGAGTACAAGGAACCATGTCTTATAAAATGTGTCAGAAAATGGAGAAATTCCATAGAGAGGTTGTCAAAGGCTTACCTTCCCCTCCCCTTTGTGACCCTGTTCCAATATAAAGCAATTTCTAATCAATTAGTTGGCTTCATGAGAATGATGTAGAGGGAATGACACCGCTTTTATAGGATAGTTTTGTAATGTGTTGTAGTAAATCTGTTCACTAGACTTTCCTTAGCACAATTTCATACTGAGATATTTCTAGCTGTGTGGCATTTGCTCCCTGCACTTTGCTGACTTTCCTCCCTCTCGGGTCTCACTGCTTCTCTTCTATCAATATATGGAGCAGAAAGGCAAGATTATGGCAGCATATGTAGCTGAAGATACATTTATGTTTTAGGTCTATAGAGCTATAGCTTTATTTTATGACCATGGGGAGGTATATTGCTTTGTGGTTTACTTTTTAATTATTTCACTTCACTCCTGTTAATTTGGTAAGAAAAAAATGAAGTATTAATTCCTTGGAAATGAAACAAAGTAGACTAGGGGAAAGTATGGTAGGATTGTTAATGTACTTTCCTTTCTACCTGCAGATGTTTTGAATTGTATCATGTTGCGTCAACCATAAGCTGTGGCTCCTGGTAAAGATAACTGTCTGTCTCTCCTCTTTTATGCTTTGTCTGTGGCTGATCTTCCTATAAATTGTAGTTTATGTTGATAGCATCATCTCACAGCATTTACTTTTATTTATTTGTTATTTTTCAAAATAATTAGTAATCTTGGAAGAATAGCTGAATTCAGATAGCCATGCATTCAATTTTTAATAAAGCAAAAGGGTTCCTATAAATACACATGCATATTATTACCTTGTGAGTAGTCTTTCCTAGGCATGTCTGTTTTGTTGCTAGTATGTGGTTCCTGCCCATGTGCTAATAACTGTAGTTCAAAATGAGGATTTTAGATACGATTCTATTAGTCAGCTGTTGGAGTGAATACAGTAGCTCTGGGAGCTTCTGTTAATCCCTGTTCCAAGCAGACAAGTGCTTCTTTCCCTAGCTCTAGAGTGCTCTGGTGTACTCGTTATTCAGTCCACCATGTTGCTTCACAATGATTTTTTTAATGGAAAGAAAAACATCCAGTTTTCATCTGAAAACATCAGTAATACAGGAATCCATTTTTAGTTTGTTTCTTCCTATAGCTGCATGAGGTGCTTACCCTCCTGTGACAAGAAAAATAAAAAATAGCTCACCGCCCCAATACAAAATTCTGTATCAGTTCTGATTCTCGTCATCTTTTTATCACACACACACATACTTCTGTTCCTTCCTGAAAAGATTTATATACATGCCACTGTAGAGAGATAAATAGATATCTCTATGTGTTTTGCCAAGCTCCCTATATTGTTTTTATAGAGAAGTAGGAAAGACTCATTTGTTTTATACTGTTAACACACACCCCGAAGCTTTCTGTCTTTAACAGTCATTATCTCTGAGGAGGTCATTTTGTTACTGCCTAGATATAGTGTATGGGGTTTATGATGTACTCAGCAAGTGAACACAACTTAAGGAAACTACAGTTTCTTTGTAATCATAGTTCTGTGGAGGAAGGAAAAGGGAAGTTTTTCTCTTTTATATACTCAAAATATAGATTCCTTTAAGGAATCTTGTTTACTTAAATTATAGAAGGAGCTGAAACATTTTTTATGCTTTTGACATATGAATTGAACACATTTTAACATTGGGAGCATAAAGTAACCCAAATGCATAATGACTTAGTCCACGTTAGATAACCTGTAATATCTCTAAAGCAAGCAAACACCTAGGAAGAACATCTGTACTGTGTGCCTTTAATGTCTCAATCACAAGAATGTGAGGTAATCATGACTCAGTCCCACTGACGTGTGGTATGGAATAGCAGTAATACCATTTCAGATCAGATGGCCAGGGTTAGAATGTTGGCTCTTGACAGCCCTGTAACCTTGGGCAAGTTACTTAACTGGTTTTAGCCCAAGGCACTGTGCAAAACAATCACAGTAATAGCACATGTGACTCCTGACATGTGAAATGAAGTATTATATAGCATAGGTCACAATTCTTGTTTCAAAATGGAGAAAAATGATTTAGAGTGGAATGTTATCTTTCACATACTTTCTTGAGTTGAATGTGCTAATTTCTTTAACCTCTGTTTTTGTGGTCAATATATTTTGCACCCCTGGTAATAATTCAGTTGTGTGTTTAGGAAAGCATTTTGTGAGAAATTGTTGGCAAGCAGAAATTCTGAGTATTAAGAGTAAACTGAAAGAACCACAGTGGCAGCATTCGGCCACCCTGCTCACTATCCATCCCAACAGTAACCCCGTTGTCGCTCTTAGTTCTAGAGGCTGTTTTGAGCTTCTGGTTCACATCTGCGGCTGCTTTCCCTGTGCCTTATGACCTGGACACACACTTGGAACAAGTGTCTGCCTCAGCTCCCCTCTGCCCTTGCTTGACAATCTTTTTCTTCACGTTCTTCTCTAACAGCTGCTCCGCTCTGTGTCATATGTCTCTGTGTTCATTTCTTTGCCTCAGATATCACTGTGAGGCTGGAGTAAATTTTCATTAGTGAGAGAAAAAAAAAAGCCAAATGAATGAATAAGTAAAAGCTAAAGGAAACAAAGAAGAGCAAGAAAACCATCAGCTGTGTTGAACCAATTCTTCCTCTTGGTGGGAGTCTATTTAATTTCCATAGGAGATGTGACTAAGGAAAGTCACACCAAAGGCAATGTGAACAGACTCCCTCCAGTGGCAGAATGACTGGGTGGCCTGAGCACTAACTGGCACTTGACTGGTTGCCCAGGCAGGCCTCTCAGAGACTCACTCTAGGCAGAGCACTGTGTAGACGACAATCAGACCACTTGGTTTACCCTCCCTAATACTCCCTCCTCGTTTGTCCCATCTGGCTTTTCCTCTAAGTCGAGTGAGTCTGCTCCCATTTGCTTTTATCCTTCTATCAGCTTCAGTAGTAACAGCAGTCGATTGACTTGCTGAGACAAGCACTGTACTTTAGTTTCTGTATTCACTTCCCTGCCCTTAGTAAAAGTTTCAGATTTTATGTTTTTGA